CAGGGGCTGCCTGCTACCCGCCTGCAGCCGCTGTATGAGTCCAGTAATTCCTGCCACACTAACGGGCGTCCTGAATCATTTATCCTGTAATTGGGGCTGCTTATCACGAGTTTTGCCTGGTTTCTGTGCTAACCATGTGGCTGCTGCTAAAATTCCGAATCCTAACATTTCACTGCTCAGAGCTGGTGGGAGGGCCCCTCAGCACAGGTAGCCGTCTTGATTGCCTCCACATTTTCCAGCAAAGGGGTTTCCATTCATCTTCATCACAGGCTCAATCTGTGCGCAGAGAGGAGGCGGCTGCCCAGTGGGTCCTTTCCACCCAGTCACCTGGAGGCTTGCTTTCTCTCGTCTGTTCCTCTGCACTCACAGACACATTTATATTCCAACTGCCCTGTAGCTTTCTCCGGGGTCTGTGAGGGATCCCCTACAGGCCCTCTCCCCTGGGCCCTGCATGGAAGTCCAGGTGGCCATCCCATTACAACAAAGGAGATGAAGGTCACTCCTTCTGAACGAGGCAAATCAGGAGGTGGAGACTGCCTGTCTGTCCTTGCTGTGGCCTTGACCCTAGGAAGTCGACCTGGGCTGTGTGGGGGACATGGGCTTTCCCTGCTCCGGAGATTCTAATTCAGTCTGATTTGCTGATGCCTGCTAGGTGACAGGCTCCACACTGGGTGCTGGGGATGCCTCGAGTGTCCAGCCCTGCTCTGGAGAGGAAGTGCACACCAGGATCAGAATAATAATGAACCATCACAGACACCATCCTCTACAGTGTGCAAAGCCCCCTCTGCCCCCACCCCACGTGACCCCCCCAACCCTGTGGGGCTGGTATTTCGCAGAGGGGCAGATAGGATCCCTCAGTAGCTAAGAATAAGGACATGGGGAATCATCTAAACCTGAATCTGATCCTGGCTCTGTCATGGATTTTCCGTGTGGCTTTGGATAAGCCACTTCACCTCCCTGAGCCTCAGCTTCCTTGTCTGTAAAATGGAATTCATAATACTACCCTGCTCATAGGTGAGGGTTCTGGGAGGTAATGTGCATAAGGCACTCAACTCTGTGCCTGGCGCATAAAAATGGCCCCAGAATTCAAGGCATTATTGTGATTAACAATACATGCATTCTAGGTAGTGTCTCCCTGGAGAATGGGGCTACAGGGAGGGTTCCCACAGTTCTTAGGACTGTGTCCCACGAGCTTGTCTGGCCTTGGAGCCTGTCAGAGCTGGGCTCAAGTCCTGACTTGGCTATTTACTGGCTATGTGACTCAGAGCTGCTGCTTCATCTGTGACATGGCAGTAATAACCTTGCCGTTGGGTTGCAGCAGAAAAGTTTTATATATCAGGAATAGTGGTTATTATTTGCCACAACACAGGGTGGGTAAGTTGGAAGCGAGCGCATTTGTGTCTCTAGGGCAAGAGCCATGGACTAGTTCTAGGGTCCATCTAGAACTGTCCTAATAAAGAATTCAGTGAAAGGCCCAATGAAGCAGAGGCTGCTTGAGGCTTCCTCCGTCCGGAGCCTACCCGCTCCCCTGGCCAACCTGGCCCCTCCTCCAAGGAGGCGGGAGAGGGTCCTTCATTCGGCAGCTTTTACAGTCAATGATTGTACCTGGCCTTGGCCACAAGATGTCACCCACTGTTCAGGAAAGCAGGGATCTGGGAGAAAACTTGCCAATCAGAATGGCAAATCCAGCCGCAGTCCTCACGCCGCCCCACCTCTGGAAATCCGCAGAGGAGGGGCCTGCAGAGGCAGGCGTGCTGGGTGGGATCAAATTCCAGGAGTTACTGCAGAACATGCGCCGGTGCCTTCAGAGAACTCTGGTTTGCAGACCCCACCTAAATTCACATATAAATAGGGATAATAATCGCTACTTAATAGAGGAGAATCAGTGCCCGGGAAACGACGGGTGGAGAGGGTGGTGTGCTCAGGACTGCAGCCGCGCAGGCGCCCTGTGCGTCCCCGACATCCTCCGTCCCAGCCCCGCGCGGGAGGGGTAGGGAGCAGATGCTGGAGAGGCGACACTGTGGCATACTCTCCGCCCCTCGGGGCGGCCCCAGGCCCCATCTTTCTAGTTGTTCAGTCCCACGTGGCCCAGCCGGGCCCGCACCAATCCTACAAAATCGGGCCCCCTGGCGCATGGATCTGGATGGGCCGAGAAGGGCGGAAGAACAGGGCTCCGGCCTGGCGCCACCGGGGCTGGAGCGGCGCCGGGCAGCCCGCGGCCTGGAGTGCGGGGACCCCGCGACCGAACGGGGCGCGCATGCTGGGCCAAGTGCCCTGGTGTCTCCAGACCCGAGGACCGGCTGGAGCTGGAGAGCCCCGGGTCCTGGGCCCCGAGCCTGTCCCTCCAGGGCCTGTAGACCCGGCCGGAACCTTGCACCCGGGACTTGACTCGGTGGTGCTGGCACGGGAGCACGAGGCTCCCCATGGGTCCCCCAGCCCTGGCCTCTTTGGCTCCGCGGTGCAGGAAGCGGGCGGCTGGGCCGAGCTGCAGAGGAGAGGCCCCGCGTCCTCTGCCCGGGACGGGTGCCCAAGGGCTCGGGCGCGGCGAATTCCAGGGGGACCGGGTGCACGAGAGGTGGGGAGGAAGAGCCAGTCCTACAGGGGCCGAACTGGGGTAGAAAATGCGGAATCCCCGCCCCGCGGAACTACTGTCTGCTCTCTCATCCACTCCCATCTGCAGGCATTTGGGACCCCTGCCCGTCGGGGTCTCACAGTCCCCACGGAGAGTTCGGACCCCAGGGAGACTGCTCGTCTCCGGGAGGGGCCGGCTTACGCTGAAGGAGAGGTTAGGGCGTGCCCAGACCGCCAGGGCAAAGGCCTACAGGGACACAGAGCATGACACTTGAGGGTACAGTGAGTTTTAAGGGACCAGGTGGAGCTGGAGAGGAAGGAGAAGGGGCAGAGAGCTTAAGCCTGAAAAGTAGATTGGAACCAAAATAGAAGAGAGAAGATTTTAGGCAGAAGAGAAACCTGGTCGAACCCAATACAAAGGGCACTTGGGAGAAAGAGCTAGAAGACGTCATGGAAGCCCATCAGAGGGCAGCTGTGAGACTAGTGGAGAAAACCGGCTGTAGTGGTGGAGGCACATTCAGGAGACAGTGGAGACTGGATGACCCCGGATTGGGGGCAGGACGGCAGTCACTGGAGGATTGGGTGTCCAGACCCAGACGGGAATAAAGGAAAATTTCAGGAATTGTTCCACCGGAGTTATTATTCATGACCACAGCACAGTAAAACTTAAATTCACAACAGAGCCTTTTAATTAAAAATGGTTCCTCGAGTGATTTCTATGCTTACAGGTATGCACCTGATCCTGACATGTCTAGAGGCACCATCAATGCTGTCCCTCTTACGGTGATAGCTCTGCTAGCTGATGGTGGAGGGTAATGCTTCTCCAGGACTTCCTGGCCTCTCACCACCCATAACGTTTCAGTCCTGGTTCAAGTTCATTAAACCAGGTTAGAAAGAAGCTTGGTGACCAAATTTGTGTTCACTGGCCAGTCTCAAGTTCCCCTTTGAGCCAGCTCAGTGGGTATTCTCTTCTATCAGGGGTCCGAAACAACATGGTACTTCTGGCAACTGCCACAAAGTCACTTTACTTTAGCTACATCCCTTGGTTAAATGGTAAAAGAGCAGAAATATTTCAAGATTTTATATATTGTAACATGACAAAACCAGAGACTAGAAGGGATCAACTGAGGTAATATAGCCCAACACAGGAAAGGCCTTCAAAGTTGTCACTTGCCTTAGGACTGGTTAGTGGCAGAGCTAAGATTAGAACCATCTTCAGGCTCCAGGACCTGGCACTACAACATACCCCACTTGAAGCCCATGACTTTCCAGCAAGTGGCAAGAATGATCCAGGGAGGGTAAAAAAAAAACTCTTCAGGCACATCCGAGTGGTCCAGCTTTGCTGTGGGAATGCTGGTAGGAGCTTACCATCCTCTCTTCCTATCATCATCTTCTAGGCACGCACCTCCCCCATCTCTCCACCAGGCTGGCTCACTCTCAGCCTGCTACCGCTAAGCTGCAGCACACGTGGCCTCTCCCCTCCCTCTCAGCCACAAGAGAAGGAAAGCAGGGTTGCTAGTAATCAAGTGAGGAGAGGGAAGTAAATAAACCCAGGAGCTGGAATTCACAAATGGACTGAGGGGACCAGAAATAGGAGATGAAAGCGAAGGTTCTCTCACATTTAGCAGGGGCAGGCCAGGCTGGTCTTTGGGAGTAAAAGTTAAGTCAGAAGCCAGGGGCTGCTGGAATGAATGCCGTTATTTTACATGGGACATGGGTTATGAATGAGTACAAAACAGCAGAAACCAAACAGCCATTTTAAAAGCTAAAACAGTGAGGAAGATTAGACAAGTTTTTCATACAGAAATCTGAACACTGCAATCCTCTGAGGATGTTCAGCAAGTTGAAGTTTGGGAGGGAGACAGCTTTTACATAATTATGACTAAAAAAAAAATACTTGAATTCAAGCAAATAAGAGCTACCCTTAAAGGACAAATTGGTCTGGCTGTCGGGCAAGATTTCTTATACTTTAAAAGGACCTTGCTCACTCATACCTATTACCTTGAGGGAGGTGGAGATAAGATTTCCACAGTAGATGGCAAATTTTAATAAGGATCATAGTCAAATGGGGAGTTTGCCAGGCATGCAGATTCCCAGGTCCTGCCCAGAAATTCTGATTCAATAGCTATGGGGTGATATCACAAGTCTGCAGTTTATGATTGTCCTCAGATGGATGATGCACGTGGCTCATTGGTTCATACTTTGTGAAATGGAGGCGCTCACAGTGCTTCTCAAACCTCCCTGAATTGAGTAGGTCACCTGGAGGACTTTTTTTTAATATAAAAGAATGTTTGAATTCCTGTCCTTAGAAATTATAAGGAGTATGATTTGGAAATGAAACGGTACCAAACAATGGACAAAGAAGAATCGTCCATTCCGTGCCTTCTCTTTCGTTTGCTCATGCAGAAATACATTATCACCACACTTGCTGTTGTTAACTTGTATTATTTTTAATCCGTGTTCACTTTACTTCCCCTTCCACATAAATTCAACACCCCTTTTTCACATATATATATATACCACATCTCTGAGGCCTGGTCATATTGTCTTTTGAATGATTATCACCCATGATGAGCTTCACTTTCCCGATTGCCACCTCTCATTAGTGGCTAGAGAAAACATCATGACTGGGTTTTCCTTCAACCTGTCTCATTACAAAGTCCTGGCCCATTTGTCCAAGTAAGCACACAATGCAGAGCTCTCTTGAGAAAAAAGCTAATAGCATTTCAGACTCCTGTCTTACAAACTGAGGAAGTACCTGTAATACAAATCTCTGAAACATGGTTTCTATTTCTTTTCTTACAATTTGTCTTTTCCTGATGCTCCAGCCCAGAGAGCCTAGAGCCAGGAATCAGTCAAGGACTTATTTTTGTTTCTGTCCTCCACGGATTCTGATTTACCAACACAAGTACCAGGTGATTCTCAACAGGGAAATTTGGAAAACAATAGTGTATAGTAGAACTCTCTAAGGCACCTAAGAATGGGCCCCACTCCCAGAGATTAGAATTCATTTGGGAAAACTGAGTCAGAACAGGTCACTTGACTGAATTAACCAGTAATTAATTAATGATAAGAAACATCAGCAGCTAACAGCCCTGGTTACAAAACTTTTGTCAAACATACAAATTAGGAGGGCTAAGGAAAGTGGGGGTGAAAATGTCCTATTTTTAAAAAATCACATTGGATACTCTTTTCACAGGAACGCAAAATTTAATGTTTTTGACCAGCGATGTGCTGAATTCTTAGTTAACAGAAGTTAAGACTACCATGGTTTTCATGTTCATCATTTGTAACAGGCTCAATGGTTTGAACTGAGAGATATTTCCATTTTAGCACAGAATGTGGAAGATGTTTTCTGGATCCCCACAACAAGAGACCTTCCAGCTTTTCTGGTCAGTTTTTTTTTAAGTCTGAACTGCATTTTAGTACCCAAAGATGGAAAAGCATTCTTCTGGAACGAAATAACTGAAGCAAAAACTCTTCAATGAATACTTAAATCTCTAGGTAGAGAACACATTTACAACCAAGAAGAGCTTCTGACCTGATCTCACTTTTCAGGATCCTGACACATTTTACAGGCAGCACTGCAGGGAGGCCTAGCTAAACAATGTCACAAGCTCAGCATCCTCTGGGAAAAGCTACAGAGCCACTTATTTGGAGAAGGGGTTAACTGGGTACAAATAAAACCGGAGCCCAAGAACACAGGTAATTCCAAGTTGTCAAGAAAAATTGAACTCCACTTTCAGTTCTAGGCTAGTTGTAATATTAATACCAAGCAGACTGAGTGAACACTAAGCCCTAATCAAATTTTTAAATGTAGAACTCTGTAAGAACTTTCTAAATGAAGTGAATCAATATAGGGAAAGCACCTTTCCACCAGTGAGGGAAGCCAGCAGAGCGAGCTTGCCTCTGTGACAAGGGCTCCTTGTCTAATAGGGACTCCCCTCAGCCGAAAAGGCTGATAAAAGCTTCAGTGAGTACCCCGATGAGGACTTCTGCTCTCAGAACTAAGGCTGATGAATAGCTACCAAAGACAGGAGTCAGATAGGAACTGTGTTAAAATAGTAATTGTTCACAATCTCATTAGTAACTGCTGGATCTTTCTAATTCCTTCCCATACCACACTTAACAAATATCCTTAGATGTTCAGATGAAAAAGACAAGTGTAAATTTATGGAGAATATTAGTAATATTTGAGAAGTCAAAGAAATTTCCGGAAATTCTTCTGAATACAAAATAGATGATGTAAACATAAAACCCAGTGAATTCAACTGCTCTCCCTTTTTAATAAGTATTTCAGAATGATATACACTAGCAATCACATTAGGAGACAGGATGGGTTGCCTATACACATACAAGATTGCGCAAGCTCATTAACTGAGGCTCATATAAGGTTTTGTCAGTTTCAAGAGGAGAGGCAGTACAAAGGTTTTTAACACAGTTGAAGCACAAGAATACGGTAGATGAGAGTATCAACTCAGCAGAGGTGAATTCTTAAGGCATGTGGCCCCTGCCCACACTATCTGCCATTAACCAAGTGTAGATGTCACCTCTCTTGGACTTACCCTATTCTGAGGACAGGCAGATTGGACACAGCAACTCCATGGTGACGCCACAGCTCAACCACACCAACCTCAACACTGAAGCAAATTATACTTTCTATTCTCCAAATGTTCTCAAGAGTAATAAAGCTATCCAGGTCATCCTACTTATTGGGTAACCTATATTCTAAACTACATTAAGTAATTATTAATCTGGCAAAGTTCTGAAGCATTTTGGCATTCAAAAATATCTCAAATGTCTTGTCACTGTTAATCTACTTTACTAAAAATTCTTTGACCTTCAAGATCATTTGACCCCCCACCCCACAAATTTTGGTAATTACATACAGAATAAATTTACTAGACTTAAAATAAATAAAAGGAGAGCAAATACAGATTTTTCCTTTAAGAAAATGGAGAGGCAGGAAGAGAAAGTCTAGTACACAGAAATGAAGAATGCTAACTCCACATTTCTATCAGTTCTACACAATCCACTAATAATTCAGAGCAAGTGTGGTCCTACTTTCCCTTTTCATACCCAATCACATCAGAGAAAGTAGTATTTTAAAACTGCACCCATTTAAAACACCTAGATGACCTTGGCCCAAACTGGAATTCCCACGGCAGGCAACAGAAAAGTGGCGCCGGGCTGGCATGGGCAGTCAGCTACAGATTCTTACGGCAAGAACACAGCCTATTTTGGGGCCAGATTTTTGTTTTCTTATTTACCTCAGGAACATGTATGGTGAAACAAACAAAGGCTTCCAGGACACAACAGGAAAAGGAAAACCATGCACCACATTTTCAATCCCTCATAAAGCCTAATTCTCTTACTACAGTGATTTTATATCTGTATAAAAAGGCTTTTGTAAGCAGGTTTTTTAAAAATAAAAAAAGAAAGCAGTAACTAGCTGAGTTTTGAACATGGAGCAAGAAAACAAAATGTTTGCCAGGTTTTTAAAAAAATAATTCACAAGGAAGAACTTTTTTAAAAACTTCACAAGGAAAAACAATCTTCAATCTATATTTCTATTACTCAACTCTCTGCCACAGCAGAATATTAATATGAAATACAAACTGATTTTTCATTAGAGGAGTTAATTCTGTAACATTTCAATAAACTGAGTCACCACCTCTCCATTTAACATTCATTATCCTTGTAAGTTCCACGTAATAACTGGTGGCTACTGAATGTTTCCTATGGGTGATTTTGTACTTTTGCAGTAATCTTTCACATAGACTAGGTACTGGAAAGAAGTATAGTGAAACATTAGAACAACTATTCCTCATTCTTGAAAGAGCAAAATCAAATTCCTCCCTATCTCACCCCCACCCCCACCTGCCATGCAGATTCAGAAACAACACTACAATGAATCCTCTCCTGGAATCAGACCAGTAACAGTTAATGCTGGTTGGTCCTTGCTCCTGACAGGATTTCCTGAGGGAAACGTAACTGCCCCTTAAACAGCTGGGCTGTGCTTCTTTGCCAGCACCTGAGTCAAGACCCAAGTGCCTGCCTCTGACTCAGAGATACAGTGACTCTGGGCTTCTACCCTCACCACCAGCTCAAGCGCTGCAGAGCTGTGTCACCTGCCTCCAGTAAGCCCTACACTCAACTTGTCACCTCAGCCTCACAGAAACAAGCCCTGTGCCATGTCCACATCGTCGTATTTATTTCCATAGTAATAACATGCCATCAATTAGCAACCATTGTGGAGGAAAAAAATCTCACTGACTTATGAGTTAAGTCCCTTAACAATGAATTTCAACTACTCCAAGTCTTCCATTGACTTAACATTTATTGAATCAAATGTGAAGTAAATGGACTCCCTCTAGAGGGTCTTAGAAATCACATTAGGCAGTTTGTTTTGTTAAGTATTTACGAGGGGAACTGACTTCTAATACCTACGCAAATTTGACAGTTACAGCCCATGAAGCACATGACTGTACACAGATTTCTTGACCTAACATTCAAAAGGACATTCTGTGGCACTAGTTTAATTTTGATCTCTCCCTAAAAGGCAGAAACCACACCCCACACTCCTCTGCAGCTTATTTTGGTATTATAAAATAAATGAATGAGAAGAGGTGGAGGCATAATGGAAATCCAGCTTCTTTAGTCACAATTACACAAAAGGATCTTGGAGGGAGGGAGGAGACAGCCTCTGTATTCATCTGCTTAAGGCTGTTGGTCTCAGTTCCCTTAAAAATGCCTGGAAATGCTGCCAGCAACAAGGGGCTCAAACTGTGGGACTGAGTTTGTTATAAAAGCAGCTAAATGTGTTTAAGAAACATACAAAGTGAAACCAGCTGGTGATAACCTACGTACAACACATGTGCTTGAAGCTTTGGTGAACCTCCTTGCTCAATTTCACAGACACCAAAACCCGCTCCTGATTAGTTAGTTATCAATATACAATCAAATAAAAATACCGTAACATGTAATTTTGTTCAGAAGAGGGAAATAAAGGCACAGAAACCTGACAAAATAGATTTTTTTCCATAAGAATAGTATGATTGATTAAAATAGCTTATCACTAGTAAAACTTGTGTCACTAGACAATACAAATTAGTTTTTTTAAAAAATGACATTCACTGAATTCCTGGTCTGTGCATTCAATGTGAATAATCATCAAAAATATATTACAATTAGAAGTCTGTAAGGAGTTCTGTTTGGGGTCTCTACACTGTACTTCCTAGTATTTCAGATGAGAAGCGCCACAATAATGAACTACATAGCTCCTGCTCCTTCGCACCGCATGTATAGATCGGGAGTCTACGGGAGGCTCAGAGACATCGAGGGTAAGAGTGTCCGAGTGATTTTTATACCCTTCATCAAAGGTAGCCCTGTGCATCAAACTCCACACCTAAAAAGCTCAATGAACTGTATTACACCTTAATAAATATTTCTGTGTATTTGCTTTTTGCTTTTAAGCTTAGCTTATATTTTGTCAAGGAAACCATTTCACAAGAGGATACATCAAACCTACTACCGGCAATATTCCTTGTTTATTAGAATCTGAAGATGTCCATATTACATCAAATATAAATATATATTTACATTTCCTTCTTAGCTTTTCAAGTTAGGTGACTGTATTTATAGATAATGCCACTAATGTCACCACTATTATAATCACCCTCAGTGCAACTGGTATCTTCCTTCCATTGGATGCATATGAGATCAGAGAGCATCTTGAAAGAGGTGTACACTCTTTTTTTGAAATAAAACAAAAGAATGGATACCCATGAATGGAGATCTGGGAATTTTCTAGGAGATTTTTTTTCCCCCAATATTTAAAAAAACCTGAAAATGTGGTCCCCTTTTTGCAGTACTATTCTCTACTTGGGACAAGAAAATAACAAAATACGCAACTCAGACAGGAAAAGAGCCCAAAGAAAAGAGAACCTGCTTGTTAGCTCATTAATCTGTTTAGTAAAGATCTGTTTAAAATGTCTGAATACTGTACAATATTATACAAAAACAATCTTCAGCCTTCAAAGCAGCTGGTACATTCTCTAAGGGATCGGTTTGCCCGCCTAACAGTCTGCTGCCTTGGTGGGCCTTGGCTGTGGTCACTTTCGGTCATCAATAGTTTTAATGAATTCCACTGCAGCTGTGAACTGCATCCACCAATAGGACTCCTCTCCAGAAAGACAGCTGGCATAAAAACTACTGATATACTGAACAGTGGACAGCAAACAGGGTGGATTTGCCTGGAGAAGTGAAAAAGAAAGAATCAATCACTCAGATGAATAGTTTACAAAAATTAAGGTAAACATCTCTGAATGTTTTTCTGAGAAACAGATACCAGTCCTTTTGAAAACAATAGCCAAATTCTCTTTGGAAGAAATTTATAAACCCTAGCTACGATGAGTAGCAACAGCATAGAGGGAAGGTGACTCCAGTTCCAATCCTAGCTGAGCTGTCCAGAGCTTTCAATCCTTGCGAGTCACTTAACCTTGCTGTTGCTTAAGGAAGCTGAACTATCCCAGTGGACTTACCCACCATCCCATAATCTAGAATGTTAGATAAGGGAATAAATGCTGGAGGTAAACTGAGTTTTAAGTCTAGGTTAGTAAGTCTGGGTAGAATCAGCTGAGAAAGACAAAGCTAAAAGAGATAATATGCCCCCCTCTGTTGCAAGAGGTAAAATAGAACATCTGCTTTTTCATCCTCTTCATGGGGATAGAAAGGACACAGGTGCATTAACTGGTTAGGAGGACAAGCAAAGAGCTATTCCTTAAAAGAAGGTCAAACTGGCTCAGTGCAGAACTAGACACAGCACATGTGGAAGAGAGAGAAGAGAACAAGGCCATCAGAAGGAGTTATGAAGGCTGATCATACACCGATCTGGTATTTTCTGACTCTGAGCTAAGAGTTCAGGTTGGAGAAATACTGCAAACATTAAAAATTAGTAAGATATATGTCAAATATACTTTAGACATCAACAGATGAGCTGAGCTGAACTGGACATAATAGTAACACAGTCACTTGGTGGCTCTGGGCACCTACACCACATGGCACACCAGAAATGTTCAAAATAAACCATTTAAATGATGAAACTTTAAAGTCAAAAAAGGACAAGAGATGTCAGTAGTTTTTAAAACAATAAGGTACAATTACAAAATAAGGCTGTAAGAGGAGAGGGATGTTTAGCGAACTTGGTAGCTGATGTGCCAACTACAGCAAGGCATCCAATGTGCAAGGAGATGGCACAAGCAGAGCACAGACAGCATCGCCCCCTCCCTCCCTCAGTAGCCGTAACTGAGCCCCAAGAACCTCAAGGACTGCTTTAAACGCTGAAAATGTTCAGCTAGGACCCGGTCCTCCACTCTTTCTCCTGAAAACCCTAGCTCCTGGGTTGGACAAAACTTGACATGGTCAAGACCTTTTCTCTGGATAACACAGAGCTGGAGCTTGGGAAAGAGCCAAGCTCTGTGTCATCACGTGAGGCCCTACACCACCCTGCTCAGAATGTCAAATACACTCTTTTCACTAGCAGTAATGAGGGGCCCACCTTTATCAACACAAATACCAAAACGGGGACAAAGTCATCTGCTCCTGGGACAGAATCCTCATTGGCCAGGCTCAGTAAGTTCATGATCGTGGAGCACATTCTCAGGATGCACTGCACTTTGTCCCGGGGTGTTTTGTAAGCACTTATAGTCCTGATTTCTGACTGTGCAGATGGCCATGGTGCCTCCCGAAGATAAACCTAAGTGAAACCACAGAGAGAGAGACAGATCTTGAATCCTAGGGCTATGCTACAGGTAGCTACCACAGCAACCTCCATGTCAGGAGGCAGAGGGGTGGAGTTGTTACCTTTTCCTGTCTTCAGTTAAACCAGATTGTGGTTCCCTCCCCTTCCACTTAAGACTGAAGGTTAGCTTTTCAACTTTTAAATAATTTGCTTTGCATTTTACAATAAAGCAACCCAGATATCCATTAGCAGAGGAAAGAACATATGACAACATGGAACCCCAAATTCATAAAATTTCAAATAATTATCTTTCTTAACTAGCTAGAATGAAACCCATCTACAACACACACAGAAGCTGATTCTAAAAGCACAAACAAGCTACTTTTAAAAGGAAAAAACTTAATATGTACCTTTGTTGCAGCAGTTACAGACATAACAGTTTCAAAAAAATCAAGGACAATGAAAAATTTTATGCTAATTAATACTTCATTAGTGGGGATTTTAATATAACAACCAGAAAGCTCAAATACCTGAAATTTTCCTATTATTTTGTAAGAGTTGCATGATAGGTAAAAATGCTAGTATCAATAACTAAAAGGTAATTTTGAGGTCACATTCAGGTTAAATTCCCCCTCCTAGAACAGAAGCTGTTGTATGCTTTGACGTGCTTCAAATGGAGTGTTTCTGCAGAAACATGACTATAAAAACATCAATAGAGAGCGTTGCTGCCCCAGGCCGAGCAGGGCTGCAGACAGTGGCCTTGCCTGCATGCTGAGTGGCTTCAGGCAGGGCAGGGCTCTGCAGTGCTGGCTCTTCCTTCTCTCCACTCCTGAGGTCCCTTTCCATGCCAGGGAATTTTAATCCTTGGAAGGACCTTTGAGAACTTTACAGTTAGAATGAATCACATCTAGTACAAAAAGTGCTGCATAATTTATTATATCCTATTTCCTTGAAAATTATCACATGCATATAGTATACTGAGCAGTTTTTAAGTAATACCACCCATGCTATGTAAGCTTGTATTACCTCTGGTATCTGGAGAGCTCTGTGATTTGCAGTCACTACTTTAGACAATCTCTGAATATGTTCATGAAGAACCCTGAAAACCCCCAAAAACACATAGGTAAATATACATTTCAGAAAATCAGGCACACAAATAGTTGTAATAGATTTTTTAAAGTTTTTTACTTATTTCTAGATTTAAATTACAATTACAGATGAGACTGTCTCTTTGCTATAAGTATTCTGTCTTGTCAAAAATGTCTCCTATCTAGGATCTGCTTAGAAATGCTGAGGATGCAGGGGGAGTAAGTCCTTCTCTTTGGGCTAGGACTGCATCCCACAGGAGAAAGGAGAGGAGCCCTTAGCCCAGAAGCTACTTGGACACACTAATTAGGAATAGACTGAGAGGAAGTAGTGGGATCAAAAGCCAGAAACCGAAGACCACAGATGCTTACATGGGAAAAGGACTCTGCGAACACTTAACCTCTCATTTCAGATGAAAATAATTAGTCTTAAAAATGTGAAGGTTTTGCCCAAGGCCACCAGAGGGGTTAGGAGCAGGGGACAAATCCTGGTTTTGGTGTCTTTCTAGAACAGTGATAACTCTCCACTCTTAAAACCTGCAGAAATGTCATGGAGGACAGGGCAGGAACAATTTGCTTCAAAGATGCTCTTTGCAGTAAATACAGTTTGAATGACCCCATTCCTTATCCCATTCTGCAAGCCAAACACTGGTGCTCTGGAGAGAAAAAAGGTCACTTGGCAAATTAAGTAAAGAAACCCGGAGTGGGCCAAAAGCTTCTGAAGCTACGAACAAATAAGAGGCAGGTTGGAATCATCCTAGTCCACTCACAGGAAGTGGATTCTCTCAAATGCACATGTACTACCTTAAAACAACCCTGAAAACAATTTCATATAAACTGCTAAGGACTCCCCCCTGGGGTCCTATTACATGGACTCCTTAGAGCTGCTGACACAGGAAGCCACAGTAACCCCTGGGGAGCACAGGGCTCATGCACAGGGAAGAAAGGGCTGTAAGGCAGTGCTCAAGAAAATGAAAAAGAGGAAAACTAAAAATGCTACATCACCCATTGTCTCAATGCCCAAAAATAACCACTGCTACCATTTGAGATATTTTTTTTCAGGATTATTTTTTTAGGATCACTTTTTAAAAAAAGTTTTACTGAGATGTAGTTCACATACCATACAATTCCAGGAATTTTTTAAATATTCAAATATATAACTTTTCATCCCTAATAAATAATGAGCCTGTATTAGAAGTCAATACGATGCTGTGATAGATTGGTGAATAAAAGAAAAGCATCCTGTTCTCGTGCTCATGGAGGAAAATCCAGTGGGGGTTGGGGGAAGCATTCATCAGATGATCACACAAACCACTGATCAAGAGGACGGGGTGATTTGCCCCCCAGGGGCATTTAGTAATGTCTGAAGACATGTTGGTTCTCACAACTCCTGGGGTACTACTGGCATCTAATGTGTACTGCTAACTGTCCTATGACACACACAACAGCCTCCCACATCAAACAATTACCTGACCCCAAATGTCAGTAGTGCTAGGCTGAGAAATCTTGACTCTACAAAAGTAACCTGAAACTGTGTCAAGTGCTAGTGGAAGGCACACAGGCCTGTGAGAGCCCTGGCAGGGGATTTAACCTAGTCAGAAATGCCAGGAAAGGTCTCCCTGAGAAGTGATTCTAGAGTCAAAATCCAAAGGATATGTGAGATTAGGAAGAAAACAAGGACGAAGGGAAGAAGAGTTAAGGCAGAGTAAACAGCAGTGCCTTCTGAAAAGGCTATGCCAATTGATATGCCCTCCAGCAGCTTGATTCCCCACATCCCTGAAAATGGATATTATCATTCTTTTTGACCTTGTAAGTCTGATGGGTGAGAAATGGTTGCATGCATTTCCTTTACTATCAGATACTCAGTCTCCTGTATAGAGTATCTAAAACATGGGGCTAGCTGATGTGTCCCTACTGATGTGTCCCTACGTAATCTACCACAGGCACATTAAACACAGAAGAACTCACTGGTCACGAAGTATGTCCCCATCCTGATTAGGGTAAAAAGCAAGCTTGAAGATCCGATTCATCACACTTCGTTCAATGGCAAGTTGAGCGTCCTGGAGCTGCTCTTCACTCGCATTTTGCCATATGACGTCCTGGGCCATTGCACCATAAAGGAACTGCAGAAAATCTTCTACCTGAGCAGTTTTGTCATCAGCTGCTGTGAGTTTCTGAAAGTCTCCAATGCAAAATAATAATTTTTTATACACTATCTGAATAATTTAAAAAAGGAAATTATATCATTTTTTGCAGATACTATGCTCTTAAAACCAAAAATGTCTGGATGTTTATTTTAGGAGAATATACAGCCAAATCATTAAAATCAAGAGAAAGGTAAAAAATATGTAAAAGTTTAACAGCATGGGATGTGTTATAAAAATGATATACTTTGTTGTAAATAATGGGAAAAATTGTGCAGATCCAATACCAATTTTCCAAATTTTGTATAAACTACAGATTTTCATCCAGGATAAAAATGAAATGTATTGGTATGACATCAAGGTTTAATTATTAAGAATCCATAAAATAACCAGGAATTTAAGGAACTGCCTTTGACATGGTAGGTACTCAAACAAACTAGCAAAACAAAAATTTCCAAATCTCTCCAGTGGCTGAAGACGTGCTTAATCTAAAGGTCTTTAGTTACCTTGAATGAATTCCCTGATCTTCTTTTCTTTGCTCTCAAGCAGCAGTCTCACACAGACGGTGGTAAAGTATCTATTGGCTACCTCTTTGTCCCGCAAAACCCTTTGGAGTAGCCTTTCCAGGTGAGCCTGTGTGGTCTGCAGTCCTTGTCGACAACGGGTGAGATATGCAATATAGGGGGCCCTTTTCCTAAAAGGAGATATATTTTTAAATATTTTTAATTTATTTTTTTAAAGTACTTCATAAACTTTGATACTGCAAATTAGCATGACAGGCTGCAGACAACTATCACAAAGACTATGCTATCAGCTCAAGAAACAGAATAATTCTTTATGCTTGTGAAGAGTATCAGCTACTGGGTTGAACACTTAGCTTCCTAACTCACAAACTGTTCCTAAGTCCCTTTGCATCACTGGCCTATTTACATGGGAGCATGGTCTCTATGTTGTAGGATCTCATACTTAACAGGAAATTGATTGCCCCCGAAGACTAAAATAACAACAAAGTACAGTTAATATACCACTAGATCATTAAACATACCACCAATTATTTGCTTATAATCTAACTAACAATCATTAGGATACCTGTTCCCTAGGCCTCAAAGCCTCTTCCTTTCCTAAGCATCTCAGTTACTTTTTCACCTTACTGTTAGCAAAGGACTGGCAACAAAGTGTAGCATATCCGCGGCCTACTCCTGCTTGCCTGCTCCAAAGGAGTCTTTCCTTTACCCCTACAAAAAGGAAATTGACACCCTAGTTATGGTGGCCTCACCTCTGTTAAAGCTGAACTTGTGCAAAGCTGAAGTAAACTGCACTTCTCTGTTATAAGAGCTGCTCATTTACCACTACATTTCCAGACTGAATATCCAAACGTGTTCCCTAGACATCTACATCCAGCCAAGCACTTTGTAGCAAGTCTAGATTTAGATTCACTTCTGGAATAAGGACCAAGAAGAAAATACTGCACCTGAAAATAGCTCTACAAGCGAAACAAGTTGGGCATATTACCTATAGTCCTCGGCGATAGATGCCAGCAGTTTCCTACAAGTCCTGTTATCAAAGCGGCACACACAACGCATTGTTTCTTGAAGTTGAGCCATTAGGTTCTTATCTTGTAAATTAATTGCTTCAGCTATTTGAACTTTTAAGAAGCATACAATTTCATTGTCTAAACCAAAAAATAAGAATTCTGTTATTGTTGAGAATTTCCAAGGGCCAAGATAAGCGATATGTCCTCCCTCAGTCTTTGGGATGTCAATTCTGAACTACCATCTTTCAGCAGCACTAGGTTGTACTGCCTCTCAATCTGAGAGCATATTAATGAGCCATCAGTAATCAAAGTGCCCTTAACTGATGCTAATACAAATGTATTAAGTTGAACCACTCTGAACTGCTGTATAGTTTAAATACAGCTGAACACTGGCAATTTCATATGGTTTAACCTATACAGAGAGGAAAAATAAACTTCAGGCAACCACGTACCTTCTGGGTCTGTATGGTCTGGTAAGCCATTCCTTGTTGAATGCGTTAGCACTGGGAAAGCAACAGAATCCGCAGAGCAAAGAGCAAGCCTCAGTTTCTTTTTTGCATCTCTGAGGAATGAGTTGAAAATACATTAATCTCTTTACCCATATATAGTCACATTTTATGAACATTCATCGTATAAATTAGTATGTTACCTCAGGACTCAAATGTTTCAAGTGGTGACAAATAAAAGATAACTTTTTTTTGGTATCATTAATATACAATCACATGGGCAACATTGTGGTTACTAGATTCCCCCCATTATCAAGTCCCCACCACATAACCCATTATAGTCACTGTCCACCAGCACAGTAAGATGCTACAGAGTCACTCCTTGTCTTCTCCATGCTACACTGCCTTCCCCGTGCCCCACTCCTACGTTATGTGTGCTAATCGTAATGCCCCTTATTCCCCTTCTCCCTCCCTTCCCACCCACCCTCCCCAGTCCCTTTCCCTTTGGTAACTGTTAGTCCACTCTTAGGTTCTGTGATTCTGCTGCTGTTTTGTTCCTTCAGTTTTTACTTTGTTACTACGTTCAAATGAGTGAAATCATTTGGTACTTGTCTTTCTCCGCCTGGCTTATTTCACTGAGCATAATACCCTCTAGCTCCATCCATGTTGTTGCAAATAGTAGGATTTGTTTTCTTCTTATGACTGAATAATATTCCATTGTGTATATGTACCACATCTTCTTTTAGTTACCCAAGGAGGAAGGCTGTAAAAGTGTTCTGGGCCAGGGCTATTCTGTAAGGTTGCCAGCATCAATCACATAACAGATTCTTTTGACTTTTTACCATGTTCTAAGTTCTATGATAGTTGCTCTGAGGAGAGTCATACAGGTGTATTATGCCAGAGTTGGGAGGGACCACAGATGTCACCCAAGCCATCTCACTACCCAAACTAATAATGCCTCCTATCACATCTCTTGAGAAATGAGATGCTGATTCTGTACATGACAAGCTCACTACCCGACAAGAAGCCTTTTCTATTGGTCGAAACTTTTTTATGTCAAGCCAAAACCTGTTTCCTTTCAACTCACAACTACTGAATCCCCTACTACCACTCAGGGAGGAACACCCTTCAGTAAGTGCCGCCTTCTACAACAATCAGCTCTTCACACTAGGAGATGCCACTGAGCTTCTTTTTTCTGCTGGAGTCTGTGCCCTTTTCTGGTCCTGCAGGGTGTGGATCAGAGCTGCTTCAGAATGTGCAAAACACTATCCAAAGAAAGGAGTTGAAACACCTCAGAGAACAGGCCAGAGTTTCGTCCTCCTGCAGGACTGTCACTTGCTCACCTTATATGACTAGCTTGGACTCTTTCTCTATTGGTTGGCTTCCTATAAAACTTATAATTTACAAATCAAGCTAATTAAATGTGGTATTTACCCATGTTGCAAAGACTCTTATAAAATATACAATGGTAAAAGCCATGGATAGAAATAAAAATTCTGTCTGCCATTCCCCCCAACTTTACTGTAGGAAAAAAATTATAAAGCTTCATAATATTTATAAATGAAGATACCTTGTAGAGAAGACAAGTAATGACTCTATAGCATCATCTTACTACACTGATAGACAGTGACTGCAGTGGGAGGCGAGGTGAGGGCTTGACAATATGGGTGAATGTTGAAACCACAATGTTGCTCATGTAAAACCTTCATAAGATTGTTTATCAATGATGCCTTAATAAATAAATAAAGACATGTTGTTTAGAGTTTGTTTTAAACTAATTTGTGGGAGGGGCTTGAGATAAATGCAAAACAATACTGGCCACATAATAACTGCTGAATGTGAGTAATGGGCACATTATTGTACTCTTCCATTTTTGTACATGTTTGAAAATTTCTCTAATAAAAAGTTAAAGAAAGGCAAAAACAGATGATTAGAGATTGGGGATGGAAAGGGGGAGAGAGAGAAAAAGAGAAAGAGAGAGAGAGAGAGAGAGAGAGATGGAGATGGGTGGCCTGTGCTTTAAAACTGATAATCCTTGTTCGGGGAAGCAGAGGGTCCCTAAGAAACAACGGCAGATTTTTCAGGCTCCTAATGTCATTTTCTTCCTCAAGCCCCATTAGAAACAGAAACCTGCCCAGGGAATGAGGAGGCTGACAGGCTGAGAGGGCTCCAGCAGGTTTCCTGGGGCCAGGGAATTCCTCAACAACTCTGTGGCTGAGCCGACCTCTACCTCAGCCCTCCTCCAACCTCTCTCCCACGGGCTGGAGCTCTGGTTCAGCAGAGGCAATGCCACTTGTTCCATTTAAATTTATTACATGACCAGCAAGATCATATGAGGCACTTTTTATCCCTGATTTAAAGCCCTGGGTATACAGCATCCATAAGGGAAGCACAAGGTCTTCTCAGTAGAGAGCACTTCATTTTTACCTCTCTTCTTTACACACTTATTAAGTGACTCAATAGATCAGTGGGCTTAAAGTGACTGCAAAGGTAATGAGAAGTCCAAACCCCAAAGTTCTAAACCTATAAAAGCAGTACCTGTAAGAAAAAGCTGAGTCCTGTGGGTGGGCGGCCTGGCTGGCGGAGTCTGGGAGGTCATCGGCTGAGATGTTCTGCAGGGCCTCCTCACGAGGAGAGTCATGTGCACTTTCCCCATCACCCATAACCTCTGAACAAAACCCACCCCCCAAACAAGGATAAGCAGGTTACTCCAGAATATTCTGACACTAGTAGGTATTCAGAGCTACTCAACAATAAATTGGCATTGTGCTTTACAATAAGAACTCTTTGAAAAAGAAAGAAAAAAAACTTTAAAACTTAACCAAGTTATTGATAGCAAGATAATGTATCAAGACACAGTTGTTGAGAAGAGAATGGTTTTACTTCCTAGACCAATCCTAATCCAAAACAATGAAAGCCTTATTAACTTAATGAAGACAATATTCTCTAATCAGAATCATTGACCCACATAACTAAAAAGGGCCCCAAAAATCTTTTTAAGTAGCACTCTTGCTTTATAGACATGGAATCCTGCCCAAGCACAAAATGGCGGCTGTGAAACCCTGGGCCAGCCAGTGGCCACAGCAGGCCTGTGCTTAGGTCCCAGAGGCTTCATCCACTGGTCAGGAACAAGTGAGCTGGCGACAAACTCACGAATGCAGCTAGAACAGATCCTGTGATTCCCAAGTTGTTTTTATGTTTTTAATGAATCAATTTAGATAGTACATATATATACATAAAATCAAAGGGAATAAATAGTTCACTAGTGTAATGAAAATACTGTGCTTATGTAGGAAAAATATATTTATACTCAGGAGATAATCTTAAATGCTTCGGAAAAAAATACATAGAGAAAATGTGCCAAATGTTAACAACTGATAGAATAGAGACCTTCATTGTACTATTCTTTGAACTTTTCTGTTATTTTAAAACCTTTCAAACTAGAAAGTGTGGGAAGGTCTCCTCTCCCCCGGCTCCCTCTGAGGATCCCTGAGCCCTCCAAGCCAGCTCCCATTACCAGTGTGTCACAGAGTCTCCCAGAGATATTCTGCATGCACACAAGCATACATGCATGCAGTGTATGATTTACTTTTATATACTTTTGTTTCTGCTTCATTTATCTTGGGGTTTGTATAATATTTTTCTGACAGCTATTCAAAAGTAGCTATTAAAAAGCTACTTTTTATTCAGGTTATCTTTATCACTGTGATACAAGTTACTACTCAAATCTTAATCATGATTATCACCTGCACTTTCATAGTTTGCCATTGCTCCTTCACTGGGGCTGGTTCGTTTGATGGCATTCCTGTACTTGTCCAAAATATCCTCAGCAACCTGAGCTTGTGCACTGAGTCTAGGGCTGGGATCATCTGCAGGGGAAAGGAGAGTGAAAGAATTAGCTCCCCTTGGTTTGCACCAACTCTGATGTTAGTACGACACCAGTAGCAAAATCCCAAAGGCGGATTAGGAGGTAAGACTTAAAAAGAGCACATATCTCGATGTTAAGAGGCACCATGCAGCTGCCTACTCATCCCATTTCTAGGTCTGAGAGCCTTGCCAAAGCACAAAATTAGGACGATTAGCTCCACTTTCTCATCATCGCCAGAATTCTGCATGACAGTGTCAAAAAGTTCAGTGCAGACTGAATGGATGATGGGTTTCTAAAGTGCTTATACTCAAATCATTGTTATTAGCAATTCATGCTTACAAAACTTCCTACAATGCATTTTTATATGCAGACTTCATTTATTCAGACATCTCCATGCTGAAGGAGGGAAGAAAGAAGCATTCAAACTTAGAATTAACCCTTTTAAGTAACAGTAAAAAAATGCCTTCATTCTCCCTTCACGAATTTCTCTCTCTATACCACCTCTGAAAACTTCAAATATTCATATTCCATCCCACTAAATCTCACCATGACAGCGCAGCTGCTGGAACAGAGCACTTTTGTGCATGCAATGGTGTGAGAGGCACTCCTAGAGAATCTAGAATTGTTGGGGAGTGCTGGACTTGTACCTGGGATGCACAGAGAGAAAGCTTATCACAATCACAGGGGCAGCTGTTTGCTGGCAGGACTGTTATCCTGGCAGCAAAATCAGCACATCGCAATGTCTTCCTGGAGTCTAAGATGGCAGAATCATTGTTATCAAAGCCAAGAACTGCTACAGACTATGGGACAAGATGAAGTTCCACGGTGAAATGCAAACTCCTGAGAGAGATCTAGGCCAGGAAGGTAACCATAAATGTCCACATCCTGGTAGAATCCCATTTTTCAAAAACTCTGAAAACACATAAGAATCATTAGATTTTCTGTATGTGAGTGTGTGTTAACAGCAGTTAGTATTAATAGCGGCTAACATTTATTGAGCACTTCTCACATGCCAGGAGCTGTGCTAAGCATCTTATTGTTTAGCTGTGCTAAACAATCTTCATTAATCATCATGACAGCACTGCAGGGAGGTGCCATAATCCCCCCCATTTTACACAAGAGGAGATCAAGTTGTGGAGAGGTTAAGCAGCTCACTGGCTCTTCTTCTGTTGCCACGAAAAAAATATTTAGTATCTGTGTCTCCATATAATTGTAGTGAACTGCAGAGAAAGAACTTCCAAAGTAATTTAATTTTTCTCCTATAATGGTATCTGAATGCATAAGGGAGTCCTAATAAAATCTCATCTTCAAAATGTACACTGATAAAACGTTTATCATTAAAAAATCTTTTTTTGGAGGGGGAGTACTTTTTTGCTTTATTGGCTTTGAGTGCTGTTCAGGGCTCTGAAAAAGGGACAATAAAATTTGGCTTAACACAGTCAAAGTCATAATGTTGCTTATAATCTTCATTTCTGTAACACCATTCTGAAAAATTTACCCAAGGAAAATAATAAGAACAAATAAAAAATGCTATATATACATACACACACATGAAGATGTGAGTAGAATTTTTACAGTAAAAAACTGGATACAACTTAAATATCCAAAAGCAAGAGAGCATTCACACTGTAGTAAAATCATATGACAGATTATCTTAGAGCTAATAAAAATTATTAAAAAACCAACTATGTTTAGTAGAAGTTGGGAAAGGGTTTATGAACTAGCAAGTAGTAAAAGAAGAATACAATGTGACACACATACTCTTGATTCAATTGTGGAAAAGCCTTGTATAAATATGGAGAAACTGGGACAGAACATGAAAAAAAAAAAAGCATGGGGGATAATGGGCAGACTATTAAGAAATTTCCTTTCATAACATTTTAAAATTAGTTTAATGATAATTTTCAATAGGTCACTAATTTGGACTGGATAGAAATTTCTATACCAGAAGGGAAACTAAATTGCTTGAATTAAACACAAAGAAGATTATAGACTTCATGAGAAAAACTTACTTAGCTTCTGGTTTAAGCACCAAGAACCAAGAAAAATGTCTGTCCAAAGATGCAAGTAAAAAGTAATTTACAGCTTCTCCAAAGTTATTAATTCAACATTTTAAAAACATGAGATTTCATGAAGAGTAGTCTATAAACCTTCATGGTGTTCTAAAACTAGGACATGGTAGGGAAACCTAAATACCTTGCCAGAAAGATACCTTTCCAACACTTCTCAATAAAACTGCAGGTTCCTGAAGAACAGGGTCATGTGTGATTGACTTAATACTTACAACACTTAGCACAGTGCCTGGCATGAGTCAGATGTTCAATAAATATTTGTTAACTGAGTAGGATGGGCTTGACTGCTCTCAGCAGGGAACTGTGAACTGGAAGCATGGCTGCTGCTGTTCAAAACCCTTTATTCCTGGAAAGTCACCTCACTGAATAAAGAAGGGAAGTATGCTACAATGTGGAAATATGTCTAAAGATATAGACGTGGACATTAGAATAATATGAATTGAAATGAGATTCTACCTGTACTATGCTGAACTCTTTGAAGAGGATGTTCTTTTGAAACCCATTTCATTTTTAAATAAAATTCCTCACTTTAAGTTAGTAGGATAAAATAATTTAAGATCAAAATAAGAAAAAAAGAGATACACAATTAATTTCCTTCTAGATGCTCCTGTCACTGGAAACAGCACATAGCTATCAAACTTAAGGTTGGGTCATTAACACTACTTCTCAAACTCTTTCCTTCAAGGGTACCCATTCATAATGTACCAAAAAAGAAGCTACAAAAATAAAAATGCTGAATAAGATAAAATCCAACCCCTAGTTATACTTTCCTTGGGTCAGATGGCAATGTTAAGATTATCTGAGCTGTAAAAAATTGGTAAAGTTTATAAACTTACGATACTGTTTAAATAAACACTTTATCACCAAAAAATGAAATGATTAGGTAAAACAGAACTTCACTGTGATCCCAAGTAATCAAGAACTATAGATGGAAATAAATTTAGAAGTCTATAATCAACATTAGAGAAAACTATTCCATCGATGATCCAAAGATATGGCATGCATAGCACTGAAACCATTACCGCACGTCCCTAAAAGGCACTGTGTCATCATCCGCTAACATGCTGAGTTGCAGGGCACACCTAGAGGCTCAGGGGCCTCATCATAATGCAAGTTATGATAATGAGGATGATGATGGTGGGGGCGGTCTGCAGGAAGAGCACACTAAGATTCACTGTGGCCACCAACTGGAACCACAGAGCTATGAAGAACATACTCCCCACTGTACACACACAGACACACTCTTCTAAGAAGGCAACGCTTATGGCACCCAAGAAAAAGTGTTATGAAATATGTGCTCTTGGAATGAAGGAGCCAGGAAGTCCATGGGTCTACAAACCTGTGAGTGTTGAGAATCTGTCAGGCCCCAGATCATCTTTGTCTTTTTCTTGTTTTTCTTTCTTTCTAAATGGTATAGGAGCTGGAAATTAAATAAAGTCAGTAGTGTGACATATAACATACTGCACTACTTGGAAGACAGCAGTCATTTTGGAGTTAACTGGTGTGCCAACATTTCTAAGTGAAAGGAAGGTGAAAAGTTTAAAAGCTAAGAAATCCTGAGTGTCAACTGATAATAATTCTTAAAATACAGCACTGAAGATTCTTAAAGCAGCTTTCAGAACCTGCTTTGGAGTCACTGGTCACAGGAAGAATGATTTAACAGGAACCTATTGGGACTAAATCAAAACCACTGTCTCTTAACCTTTGCTCAAAACAACACGCTCCAAGCTCTGAGCCTCATTCTCTCCTCCTCACCAAGTGGGCTGGAGCAGGCGTGAAAGCAGTGCTCCTCAGCTCCTGAGCGCCACAGTGCCAAGAAGAGGCTTTTGGAAGAAGCCCCTAGCTTTAATCCTGGATGCTCTCTCCTTAAAGGAAGAGATGCTTTTGCCAACTCAAATCTTAGTATCTACTGGTATGATGCCAGGCTATTCACAAAATAAGCAAACAATTTTATACAACTGCCTTCCAGAATAAAAAACTACTAGGGATATAAACATTCTCAATGCATGAACATAAACATAAAAAGCTTAAGTTTTTTATGTAAAGGATGAATTTTCAATGTTTAATTACCAATAGCATCCCTTTTTTCCTGCAATAATTATCAACAACACATATGTCAAAAGTCCTATTCGTTTAACTTCAATGGTGTATGTTATTTAAACAACCGTGACCTGCATGGCGTCCGTCCATGCAACCACTACCACTTCTTACAAAGAACAAGAAGTATCTCTAAAGCTCTGCCTTAGTGTTCACCTGAGCAAAACCATTTTCCATACCCTCAAAACAGCTAGAAACTTAGGTCCAGCAAGCCTCAGGAGTTGAGATATTGGCTGTCTGAAAGAGGATTTTTGGCTTTGGTTCTTGTTGCTAATACAGCATTCTAATATTTTATAAAATTACCTTTAGGCATGGCAGAAACAAAACGTTTTCTCCACCAAGGTCTGTTCCTGTCTGATTTCTCGTCATCACTATCTTTGCGTTCTTCAGTCTGTAGAAAAAGTTTGACGCTTTAGTTGGAGTTGAACAGCAGGATTAATTACTATAAAAAGGATTTCAGTTAGTTTGTGAAATACAAAAACCACTCTTATTTGTCTTAAAAGCTAAACTGTTCTTATTGCTGTATAGGCAACTTCTGGAACATGGAAGTATACTTTTAAGCACCAGACTATATGATCTGCTTGAAAGTAAGCACTACCTCATTACTGTTACTAAACCAAGTGCTTAATACAGAGCCTAGCATAGAGCAGGCACAATAAATACTTATACAATAAGTAAATGCAATGCACTGGAGTCTAGAGGGAGAGTAGAGATAGTAGCAGAAGTATTAATATTAAAACAGAGTATGTACTGTGTGCCAGACAGAGTGTATATTATCCCATTTAAACCTCACAGTAGCCTTAGGACTATTTGGCCCTTTCTATAGATGAAAAATATGAGGCTAAAAAAGGTTATCTCTTCATCTTTCCCAAAGTTATATAGCCTGTATGTGGTACATCTGGGATTCAAACCTAGATCTGACAAACTTAATGTCTGATTACCAATTATAATGAATTATAATTAAGATCACATGTCAAAGGACAGGGACTGTAATTCTGTTACTAGTCTATCATCCGATTTTAGATGAATCATTTATTTTCTCTTCTACAAAGCTGGAACTAATAATACCTTCTGTAAGGGCATCCATGTGATGGGCTATCAGAACCCAAGCAGAATGAGGGCATCTGTGCCAGGGAGAGCTTAGCAGCTGGGATGGAATACTGATAACATACAGGGGGACTGATCAAATAAGTACATACATAAAGAATAATAAAAGCAGATTTCTCAATGTTAGAGAAGGGAGTTATAAATATGGAAAGGGAGAAAGATGAAATAAATTCTGTTGTTTTTAGGCTGGAATGGAATATATCAGTTTGAGCTTGTGGTTCTCTACATATAGAGAAAGCTAGCCGTAGAAATAAATATATATGTAAATAAATATGTACACATACACCCCTCCCCCAGAGCTCTGTCTACTGAGAGGTCCTAGGAACAGCAACACTCCTACAGCAATGGGCACACCTTGTATCCAGATCTTGATTTTTAAAAACCATTTTCTCCCAAAAGGAACAAGGGCTACTTATAGAAATGGTTGGCTCCAGAACCAGGGCAGACACAGTACAATATAAGCTCATAACATTTTGGGTCAGAAAACAAAGGAATACTCAAATAATGACAGTTGTGTGTGTGTCCAATGAGCCCGGGAGCCAGCATGAAGGGGCTACCACTGGCCAAATCAGGGACAACTGGGCTTCAAAATAAATAACAGCAGCAAACCCACTGACTAAAACAGAAAACCATGAGTCCATAAGTATAACAACTAATACATGGATAAATTAAAAATTTGATGAAGAACAGGATGTTTATATATTTTCACAGTCCCCTCTCCACCCAAAATACTTATTAATTACAAAGGGAAAAAGAATGACAACACTTTCATCAAATTATCCAAATGAACATCATAGTAGTGGAACTAATTAAAATTGTGTGCTATGTGAAAGGATGTAATGAAAAGAACAGTGTCACTTTAGTGATATTCCTGCCAAACATGAATAACTGCATTTATTCATGAGAAAACACCAAACAAACCCAAATTGAGGGACATTCTAAAAATAACTGGCCTGTAATCTTCAAGAGAGTGAGGATCATGAACATCAAGGAAAGACTGAGGAAATGCTCTAGACTGAAAGAGACCAAACAGACATGACAGCTAAATAAAAGATGTGGTTTTGAATAGGATCTTTTTAGTATAAAATATATTACTGGGACAACTAGGGGTACATGAATGGAGTGTGAGAACTAGAGGGTAGTAATGTATCAATTTAAATTTCCTGATGTTGATGGCTGCACTCTGACGTGTAGGAGGAAGTGCTTGTTTGCAGGGAACTTACACTGAGGTATTCATAGGTGATGGGGCATTAGAGCATCAGGTGGGAAACTTAATCTTAGATGGTTGTAGAGAGGTTCCTTGTACGTATCTTTTCCCATATTTTTTGACTTTGTGATTGTTTCAAGATAAAAAATAATACTTCATCTAACGATCCTGGAAGGAAACTGTGAGGTTTGAATGAAGTCAGATACAAAATTGCTTGGAGAAAAGTTTAAAGTGTCAAAAAATGCAAGACACATTACTACGAAACCAAAGTAGTGCAGCTTTCTATGGGTCATGCTTACAGACATACTAGATTAAAAAATCATCTTTAATCATGACAATTGTCCACCCTTAAGCCTAGGTTTATACATTTCATGTTAGCTTCAGATATCAAGAGAAGTGAGGCAGACAGAACACTAGAGCTGACCACAATCAGCAAATTTTACATGGCTGGTGTCCCATACCTCTCCTCTCGAGGAGTCCTTACTCGGGGATGAAGATGACGAATGCGGAGCAGCCACCAAAGAAGTAGCACCAATGGCTGCAGCTGCAGGGAGTTCTCGCTCTTCATTCCCTGGACGTCGGTTCCAGCTGGGGTCACTCATGGGTCGCCGGACAGAAGATACTATATCGGAGCTCCTGCTGCGAACTAGTCTCTCAGGGTAAGAATGCCTTTGCCTGAATGCCTCCATTTCTGCTGGAGTTAAAATGTGGGAACCAAAGTTTGGCAATCGAACCTCATGGCCTCCCACAGCTCCTTCCAGGATTGGAGGATCTGGTGGTGGATGCGATGGCCTGGCATAGTGAACTTTTGGCCTTACCACAGCGGAAGCCCCTGGAACATAGGAAAAAATGTTTGCAACTGAGACACAAATGATCCAGCAAAGGCATTAATAACGGATTTTAGTTTTGTTCTTCCATCCATGATAAGACAAAAGTCAAAAAGCCCATTTGTCTAGTTTACCTTCATGTGAAGACAGTGGATCAAACATGGCAAGCAGAGATTCTGACTGAGAAGGAGGAGAGGTCAGCTGGTGGGCGCCTAAAACAGAAGGACAAACTGTGAAACCAAGTCAGAACTCAGGACTCAGTGAGAGTTCCAATACAGTGAAAAAGGTTCTAGCATTCTTCCGGTTTTCCTTTTTGGATCAATTAGAACTGGAGGGGCATATCAGGAAAAAAGAATATAATAAATATCATATTCTGAATGCTGCAAATTCATTTTATGCTTTTATCTACATACATGGATTTTAACTACATTTAAATGGTCTGGCATCCACATGCCTCTTACTTTTAGTGGCCAAACTATATTATGGTTAATGCAAAAAGCAGGGCCAGAAGATGTAAATCATCAAAACTTTCAGAATGTCACAATTTCCCAGAGCCTTAGCTTCCCTCCACCTGTAAAACTAGAGGCAATACCATTTACAGGAGGAGTATAAAAAATTGCAAAATTTGAAATTCTAAGCAAATTGTTCTCAGCAAATGACAATTTCTAAAAGAACTCACAGCAAAAATGAATAGTACTACATTATACCATAAAACAAACTCAAACTTCTAAGTACACTATTTGAAGCTACAAAATAAAAGATGACTCCTAAAGAACCAAAATCCAAAATATTAAAACAGGTAAGTATGTGGAGGCTTATATGCGGAGGCTTAAACTTTTCAATACATACAAAGAATGGTTACTCTACACTTTCTGAGTTTGAGCTCTTTTTTGATAATTAACAAAAGGACGATTATGCCTTTTGATTTTTCCTTCTGTCTTATGTCTTACATTTCCCTTCCTTTTTGAAAATGTCAGTTCTCAAAATTTTAGTCTTAGAACACTTTCACATTCTTTAAAATTACTGACCCTAAGAGCTTGTCTATATTGGTTCTATCTTTGATGTTTACTATATTAGAAATAAAAACTGGAATGTACAAATATTTATATATTCATTTAAACATACCCATTAAATGGTATCACAAAAAAACAAAAGTGACATTGTTTTACATTTTTTACAAAGTCCTTTAACATATGGTTTAACAGAACACAGCTGAAGTCTATCTGCTTTTGCTTTCAATCTGTTGCAATATATTGCTTTGGCTGAAGTATATAAAGAAAAGGAGGCCTGACACAGATACATAGTTAGAAAAAGGATGATATTTTAATAGCTCTGTCAGATAACTGTGGATACTTTTCTTTGATAACAGCGCTTAACCTTGACAAGTAGGTTTTTAAAGGTTAGCTACAATTTGGAATTTAAACCCAAATCAGTAACTTTTTTGTACTCTGTTACACTAAAAATTAATTGATCTGTCTTGCACTTTGAACAGATCTTTTACTCATGCATGACTTTGTAACATCATGCACTGATCATCTGGAAAATACCGGTTCAGTTAGATGTGCCTATCTTCCAAATGTTGACACATTTCATCATATAAAAAAAAAATCACATTCTTGCTATCACCATCAATCTCACCCAAAGTCTTTAAATAGCAGGAAGCTGTCAAACTTGAGGTGGGCACAAATTTTCTGAAATTATAATTTTTATCTCAAAGCATGAATTTTACCATTTGGAAATGGTAAAACTTTTTAATTTTTTAAGAAATGTCTACCAAAAACCCAAGTATGAATGACTATGGTTTGTTAGTAATTCTTTCAAGTAAAAATGGTATTTCATAAAAAACAAACAAGAAAAAAAAAAACGGCTAGTTAAGCTCACAACTCAATCATAAGTGCTTTTCCTTGAGACACTTCATCGTATTTCAGAACGCAGCAGAAATGCGTTAGGGGTACATCTTATTTCTTTAGAATATTAAGTAGATGTGTACTCAAGGGTAGAAATACAATTAAATAATTTTTACTGCTTCATCAAAGACATTCATAAGTAAAACTTTCTTTTTTAACTGGAGAGAAGAGTGACTGCTAGCATGGTTTGGTGCCTTGCTTCACGCTGAGGCCTTGGCAAATTTACCCACCTTTACTTGTGTGCCACTGGTGCAAATTTCCATCCAGTGAAAAAGACAATAACCTTTTGTTATTATGAAAATAGTTTTGAACTTGTAAGTCCCATTCCTCAGAAGGGTCTTAAGGGCCCTCAAGAGTCCATGAAAACTGCCTGTTGAAAACTGCTGGTTAAGAACTGTTAAGAACAGTGGTTCTCCACTGTTTTGTGTTCGAGAAACCATCGTAAGATTGTATATCAATGATACTTCAAAAAAAAAGGGAACAGCATTTCTCAACTGGGGCTACTTTGCCCCCCAAAGGATCATGTGGAAATGTCTGCAGATGTTTTTGGGTGCCACACTGCAGGGGAACAAAGGGGTGGTGTGCTCCTGGTAGAGGCCAGAGATGCTGCTGAACAACCTTCGATGCAAAGGACAGGCCCTCACAATGAAGAATTACCTGGCTCAAGATGTCAACAGAGTTAACATGAGAAACCTTGGTTTGGAACAAACAAAAATGTTAAAAAAAAAAAAACAAAAACCTCTAAACCCAGTATTTATTATATATAAAACCACTGGTAGCATTTTGGTATTTCTTTCTAATGCCTTCTCTATGATAGGCTTTTTTATGTTTCATTGTCTTATATGTAAAATTCTTAAAATTTTCCAAATGAAAATAAAAACCACAATGAGATATCACCTCACACCAGTAAGGATCGCCACCATCCAAAAGACAAACAACAGCAAATGTTGGTGAGGTTGTGGAGAAAGGGGAACCCTCCTACACGGCTGGTGGGAATGTAAATTAGTTCAACCATTGTGGAAAGCAGTATGGAGGTTCCTCAAAAAGCTAAAAATAGACATATCATTTGACCCAGGAATTCCACTTCTAGGAATTTACCCTAAGAATGCAGCAGCCCAGTTTGAAAAAGACAGATGCACCCCTATGTTTATCACAGCACTAAATACAATAGCCAAGAAATGGAAGCAACCTCAGTGTCCATCAGTAGATGAATGGATAAAGAAGATGTGGTACATACACACAATGGAATATTACTCAGCCATAAGAAGAAAACAAATCCTACCATTCGTAACAACTGGATGGAGCCAGAGGGTATTATGCTCAGTGAAATAAGCCAGGCAGAGAAAGACAAGTATCATATGATTTCACTCATATGTGGAGCATAAGAACAAAGAAAAACTGAAGGAACAAAACAGTAGCAGAATCACAGAACTCAGAATGGACTAACAGTTACCAAAGGGAAAGGGACTGGGCAGGATGGGTGGGAGGGGAGGGATAAGGGTGGGAAAAAAGAAAGGGGGCATTACGATTAGCATGCATAATATAGGGTGGGGGGTATGGGGAGGGCTGTGCAACACAGTGAAGACAAGTAGTGATTCTACAGCATCTTACTATGCTGATGGACAGTGACTGTAATGGGGTGTGGGAGGGGGACTTGGACTTGGTGAAGGGGGGAGCCTAGTAAACATAATGTTCTTCATGTAATTGTAGATTACTGATAACAAAAAAAAAGAACCCTCAAAAAAAAATAATTTTCCAAATGATAGTATTTTCTAGATACTTCCCCAAGTTACTTCATGTTCCTTAAAGCACTTAAGAAATAGCTTTATGAATTCTAGTAAGTGGTTATATCAAAATTCACTTAGCCATTCTATTTTTCAATTCTTAGACTGTTTCTCATTTCTGTCAATACAAATGTTGTAAAGAACATCTTTGTGTGTAAAACTTTCTCCACATATGGAATTGTTTCCTTATGACTGATACCTAAAGTGGGCTAAGTGGACCAAATTTAGTATGTGAACTTTTAAGGCCTTATATACATATTGAAAAATTATGCTCCAAAGTGCTCTAATAACTGACATCACCAGCAATGTGTAAGACTGAGTTTCAGTCATGAATGTCATCACTTTAAAAGTCATTGTCATTTCCCCTTCTTACCATGAGTTACTTCATCCATGTCTGGACTGGTGACAGAATCTTTACCCCCAAAATCAGAACTGCACTCAGATCTCAGGTCTTCAGTCTTATTGGGAATATCCTCAGAGGTTGCACTTATGCCTTAAAAAAAAAAAATAGTAAAAAATAAACAGGAAGAACAAAATAAACACACAAAAAGAATATGAAGTTTATAGAAATGTAAATATTCTCAAATTTTTTGTGTCCCGTTTGATATTATATACTTTATTATACTATGGCTTATATACATCCCTTGATTTATACAACATAATCAGAACTACCATGTGATATCTAAATATAGAAGAGGTTACCAAGAACAGATAGTTATAGAGGGAACACACACAGACTATTCACCTATTACTTCAACAGGCTTGATAAAACCACAGGTTAAGTTCTCACAGATTTAAGGTACCACAGAAATAACTTACTCAGCTTTTAAATACAACATATCTCTTTGCCATCAACTTTATAAATGGGGAGGTGGGAACACACCTTGAATCCTTATTCCTTAAAACAAGACAGACATACCCGACACAACACTGAGGCCTGGTGTGCTGGGGCGGGAACTGACCTCCCTGACATCCGTATCATCAGATGTGCTACCCAGTCCAGAACAGCTCTCCAGTTCTTGAAGCCGCTCCTCCTGCTTTAGATCTGGGGCCTCTGAATAGAAGACACAAGGAATCACATTAGTGATTATGTTAGCACACCACAGCTTCAGCTTTTGTGACCCAGATGAAAAAAACTAACAGGGCCTGAATGAAATCAGTGTAAATAGATTTCTCGGTCTGGGACAGTTAGCAAAGGTCCTTAGTGTTAAAGAAGACAAGGTTATGGTTTTCATCCCTGTATAAACCAGTTCACTGCGCAAAGACAGAAACTCTGCTTCTAGACCACTCATCTCATAGAATATGCTGTTGGTTAACAAGTAAACAGAACAAGAGAATATGGAATAACTTAGCATTAAATCAACTGCTTTCTTAAAAATAACTCCTGTGGATGCTTAACAGACAGTGAGCTAATCCTACCATCTCCTTATGCAAAAGTTAGCATGTCTGAATGTATTAACATTACAAAACACATATCAGGATCACTTGATTATTCTTGAACCAAGCAGATCAGATAGAATGTGGTTCAGACATACAGTTATTTATATTTGCATTCTGGTAGTTGACATTTAGTTGACAGCAAAGATAATCAGAAAAAAAAGTAGAAATGCAATATATAAGAAGAGAGAAAGTACAAACACTTTATATACCTTTATAATAACCTTGCACAAAATAATTCTCAGTACTCCAGAGTCTCAATTTCAATGCGTTTCAAAAATATATTAGGTATCTTTTAAAGGGTTAAGCTCTCCTCTGGGATAAACCTAAACATGCTTACCAGGCATCCAACCACTTGGGGGTCAAGTTCTTTTGCTACTCCTATTTTGTTCTGACTTAGTGGGAGATAACTGAACTCAATGTCCCACACCGAACCCTGAGGAGTTACCAACAATTGCTTCCAAAATAACTCAAGAGACAGAAAGTCCCTGCCATCCAACACTGCATTTTTTCTTGGTGGACAGAAATGTCCTAATTTTCCATTTGAAATTCTTAGCAATGCAATTGCTTCACACTTATTAAACATATATTTGACAAAATGTACATAGTACAGAAATCTGGATACCTCACATTTAAAACTTCTGTGCAAATCAAAAGCAAACAATGACAGCGTACTAACCTGAGTCACTTGGCAATACCTCTACACTCCAAGCTTCGCTTGTTGTCTCTGATATGGTAGAACCAGTGCAGGGGTCAAGAAGCACTGACCCTGAGCCTGGCAGGCATAGTAAACTGCCTAACATGTTCTCTGCTGCTGCACCTGTATAACCAGTGGGGAGCAAAGGGTTAACAAAGATCCTAAAGGAAAGAGCAGTGATACCAGGGAAAGGCCAAACACTAAACCAACAAAAGCTCTCTACTCTACCCACAAGAAAGAAGCCAAGGTAAGGGTAATTTCCATGAGTAACCACCAAAAACACACATTTCCCACTCTGGCCACAATGACACAAGCTCCTTTCCATTGGTTTCCTCCTGTTCACCTCGGACCTCCATTGAAAAAACACACATCATTAGGTCAAGTCATTTCAACTAACTTTCACCTTGATTTTTCAGCAAATTTTGTGTGTGCCCCCAGCATCTTTCTAAAATGTATATGAGTCCTACAGGGATTAATAACACTCGCAGACATGTAATCACAGTAAGTTATATTGGCCAAATACGTTTTCTTGTGGAACATTAGCTACATATTCAGAGCAATAAAATATATTTGCAGGAAAATACACATCTCCTCTGAACACTCATTCAAATGTAAATACAGCTTATTGCTTAAATATAGCTCACTGCCAGGAAAACTACTACTTTGGCATCTGGAACAGAGTAATGCAAAACCATTTAAGAAATTTATTTACACTTCTTAAAAATACAAATAGAAAGGACTAAGCAGTAGTGTACATCTGTGTTAAAAATCCTTAAGTTCAGAAAAGCTCCAGTACTTGTGATTAAACCTAATAAAATAAAAATTGAATGTTAGGGCATGAAAAAACCTCTGGAAACAGATTACTGGTTAAAGAAACTTTTTAAAGTGATTTATGTCATGAAATAATTACAAATAAAATGATGACTGGAAGTTGCCTAAACATAACAACTGGAGAGGGTGGGAGAAGAGAAGAAATAAAACTGGCTCTGTGTGTGTGTGTGTGTGTGTGTGTGTGTGTGTGTGTGTGTGTGTGTGTGTGTGTGTGTGTGTGTGTGTG